AAACACGGTATCATCTCTGTTATAGATACGCACGCCAGCTTTCCATCTGAGAATAATAAAGTCAAACTGTCAGAATCACGCGGTCTTGAAGCTATTATATACTCGTTCAAACCACCGCTACTTCTCCCCATTAATACGATCACCACCACCTTCACCATCCAAAAATGATTGATTTGAGTGGATCTGTGGTAATATTCAAATTCAACTAAACGGTCAAATTATTGATCATAATCCATCTATCGTTGATACCTCGTACGTGGTCTGTTAGGATATCTGTCAGGAACATATTAACAGTTTTTTTTCGCATCGGGCACATATATGACATCCAGTGACTCTTCTTCGGCATCGATTCTAGTCAAGGGGTGGGTGTGGGTGTAGATGACAATAGCCACATCCACATCCACACTCATACCCTCATAAAAAAGAAATTTTTCGGAGTCAGAGTCGGATTTTGGAATAAAAAAGCGTGACTCCGCAGGTCCCTAATGTGGGTGTGAGGCGTGGAATGTGTGCTGTTCGTCTTCTCTGCATCGACACCCACACACTCACACCCTCGATGGCCTTATGATAAGCAAGTCATAACTGATTTTCACTTTTAGATTAAACTTCGTTAGATAAGTCCTGAACCAGAACCAGTCTGACAGGCTCTAATATTGAGTTTAGTCAATCGAGAGAAAAATCGTACTGGAATATAGAAAACTCAAAATTTTCTCTGTAATCTAGTAAAACAGAGAGAAGTTGAACTATTCATGGAATCAGAGACAACTATTAAATAAAATTGTTAATGTGTCATACATTTAAATTGTACTAACAATTGGTATTCCTAATACCAATGTATTTCATATAATGTGATACATATTTTCTACAATTTTTTAAAATTTTATAAAGAAGCGAAAGTTTCAAGATATCATTGTTTTATACAAAGTGAAATTCAATCGATAAAATGGTGACTATTTAACATCCTCATAAGATTTTATCTTTCGAAGTATTTGTACTAGCAATTTTTTTCCCGAAACATGGGAGATTTGTTTCATAAATAAAAATGTCTTGTAGATTATCTTGATATAAATTAAATACTAGCATATTTTAGCTTCTCTTTGAACACTATTGTTCGAATTAAGTAGTTACATGAAACAATGTGTCAATAAATCATGATGTTTTTCTTTTTATTTTCTCTATCAAAAACAAAACAAACAACAACTGAAAAAGAAAAAAAAACAGAATTAATCTATTAGAAAAAGTGTTGTTTGTAATAAGGAGGTTTTCCACTTGGAGGTAAATCTTCTTTCCGACGTTTCATTTTTTCATGTAATGGAACATAATCAGCAAGATATTTATATGGTGGCCAATTTCTTATATCACTCATTTCTTCATCACGTAATTTTTTATCAAGATGTAATGAACGATGTGGTTCCATTCGATCCCAATGATAATGTTGACGAGCTAATTCAAAATATTCATGTTCACCTTGTGTACGAATATTTTCAAAACTTTCATCAGCAAATGCTTTATCTTTTGAATGCATTATAATTCTTGATTCGTTTGCAAAAAAAATTTAATAATTCATCACGTTCTTCTAATAAACGAAGATATTCAATTAAATTAAGTTTTTTTTGTTCAATAATAAAACGACGAATTTGATCATCAAGTTGTTCTTGTCTTTCACGTGTCCAAATTGGTATTTGTTGTTCATATTTATCAGCAAATGTAGCTATTTCAATAAGATTTTTTTCAACAAATTCTTTGAGATTTAATGAAACAATTTTATTTTTTTGACGAAGTTGTGGTAAAAGTTTTTTCTACAAAAAAATAAAATTATTCGATTTATTTCAATCATATATAATTATTTATTTTTTTTTTTGATTCTATACTTTAATAATATCACGTGCAGCTTCAGGAATTAATTCTAAACGTCGATAAGGACTTTGACGTAAACGTTCTTTTGCTTCGATTGGATTATAAACATATTCATCAAGTTCTTTTTCCAAAATTTTTATCTAAAAAGCAAAAAATTACAAAAAGATTTTCATTTACAATTGTTTCATCAACTTGTAATTGATCATTATTTAATATTGTTTGAAGTATATCACATACACGACCAAATTTTTTATAAAGAATATTTCCCAAAATCTAAGAATAAAAAAATATTTTCAAAACAAACAAGAATTTTTAAATAATTGAAAATTTTTTTTACTTGTAATGAAATAATAATACTACTATTATTTGCATCTCGACTTAAATAAATTATTGTTTTACCAAGTAATTTACGTTTATCAATTAAATCAAAATGATCATCATTTGTATGATTACGAACAAAATTAACTTTTACTTTAACCGAAAAAATAATAAGATATTTCATCAATTAACATACAATATCTTCATCTTCTTCTTCTATTTGTGTACTTTTAAAATCTTCATCAGTTGCTATTAAATAATAATTATA